TCTCCCTGACTGCTGAGTACAGAACAGAGTCTGGATGGCAAGGGTAGAACAGGGACCTCGAGGAGGAGGCTGCTAGAGTAGTTCAGGTCACTGCTGATGGCACAGGCAAAGGAGGGGGGCAGCTCTGGATCTATTTTGAATGTGGGGGTAACAGGTTTCCTGTCAGACTGGCTGTGAGAGTGTGAAGAGGGTTAAGGAGCTTACCTTCGCTCTGTGGTCTGTTGTGAGACCGGGAGTGATGGTGGTCTGTGTATAAGTTGTGTCATAGCCAAGATTCTGGGAAGGAGTGAGCCCTCAGGAATGGGGCAGAGGAGGATAGAGAGTTTTGTAGGTTCTTACCTCCTTTTTTCCCACTGCAGCCCCGGAAAGCCAGCGCCACCTGCACGTCTGCCACAGCTGCCGCCTCCAGTGGCCTGGAGGAGTGGACTAGCCGGTCCCCACGGCAGCGGTCACCCGAGCACCCTGAGCTGCATGCCGAGCTGGGCATCAAGCCCCCTTCCCCAGGCACTGTCTTAGCTCTTGCCAAACCTCCTTCGCCCTGTGCACCAGGTCAGTGACTTGCTGACAGGGAGCATGCAGGGCTTAGAAGGTGCTGCCTACGTCTTGGGCCCTGCCTCTTACTGTCCATCTGCCCCAGGTACAAGCAGCCAGTTCTCAGCAGGGGCGGACCCAGCAACTTCCCCCCTCGTGTCCCTTTACCCTGCTCTGGAGTGCCGGGCCCTCATTCAGCAGATGTCCCCTTCCGCCTTTGGTAAGCTTCCTCTGTCTAGGGCCAGGGGCTAGCTAGGAGGTTGGGAGAGATGGAAGAAGCAGTAAGTCCTAAGAAGGGGTCTCTGGCGTCTCTGGCCATCTCCCTAAGAAAAGGGAATCTTTCAGGCCCAAGGGATCTGTCCCAGGGGGTTCTGAGTGGGGTTTCAGAGGCTCAGAGGAGCCTTCTTACAGGTAGGAGGGAGAGGGGCCTGGACGGGATCTTTCCAGAGACAGAAATCTGCAAAGGGCGAAGAAAAGGCGGGCTGAAGGTGCTCCATTCTTTTTCCCTTCTTGCCTAGCAGGTTTGAACGACTGGGATGATGATGAGATCCTAGCTTCGGTGCTGGCAGTGTCCCAACAAGAATACCTAGACAGTATGAAGAAAAACAAAGTGCACAGAGATCCACCCCCAGACAAGAGTTGATGGAGACCCAGAGACTGGAGACCATCTCCCAACTCCCACCACTCCTGCCCTCCGGTGCCACCCCATCTTTGGCTTTCTCCCTCTTGCCTTCTTCCTCCTTCCCTTTCTCCCCTCCTTTTCCTCCTCCCCACTTCCCTCTTGCTGACCCACTCCTGTGCCCCCTCTCATCGCTGCCACCACCATCATCACCTGTGTCTTCGCCAGCTGACGTGCCCTGTTGCCCCCTGCACAGCACCATCCCTGCATTCCACAGGGGACTCGGGCAAGGGTGCCGAAGGTAGGCAAGAGGCACACAGAGACAAACCAACTGGCAGCCAGACAGTCCCCGAGGAGAGACATTTAGGCAGAGGGAAGCCTTCCTGACCCCCATTCCTCCCAAGTTCTGAAGACCTTGTCAACCCACCTCCACAACTATGCCAGGGAAGTGGGAGGAAGAAGTGGGGAATTCCCCTTCCCAGTACCCTAAGAATGTCTGAGCCTTCAATGTTGAATTTTTTCTTTATTAAAATGTACTTTTATCTTATAAATTAACCAGTCAAAAACGACGTAGACAACAGCATCGACTCTATGAAGGTGGCATCTCTCTGGTTTGGGGGCAGACAGATTGTGGCACACAGATATTGTTGCTTTCTCTGACCTCCAGCTCTGGAGGTGGGCAGAGTCTAGAGTACGAGCCAGGGCAGAATAGAGGGGCATGGGTGGTTGGTGTCATGTGGGCTTTGGACAATGAGACTCTGACCTCACTGCATTCCTGTTGCTTCCACCATCACCACTACCAATCCTTTTGGAATCTTGGGGTGGGGGCACCTTTGAGGGTTATGACCGCCGCCCAGGATTTGAGTGTGGGGAGTGGGAGCAGCCTTGGCAAATGGGGCACCTGTGTCCTGCAGGTGTTGACAAGATCCACCATCTGTAACGTCCTTGAAACAATAAAACCAAATGTCAGTTTCCTTGAGCGCCTCTGTTCTGTGTGGGGCAGAATGTGGGGGGTGGGGGTGGTTCTGGGCAGAGGTAGAGAGGGTACAGACTTTTGCTTGACCTCTGAGGGCTGTGTGCCCTCCAGTAGGTTCTCTCTGGGGCCCAGAGTTTGTTCATATTTGATTCGCTGCTTTCTAACCACCTTCTGGACCTGGACCTGTTACCACCAAGAAAGCTCCATCTTTGCCTACTGCCCCTACCTCAGTACTGGCACAGGATGTAGCCTGCCCACCTTATTTCCCAGAGTGTGAGGGGAACAGAGGACTTATCCAACTTCTCTGCCTGCCTCTTTCGCCATAAATGTTTGTTCTTTCCTTGTGATCATTTGATGAAGAAATACTTTGGAAAGGCACAACGGATTCTTCATAACAATATGAGTTCAGAGGAAGTGACCAGATGGGCCTCCCTGACTGGATTTTAGAAGCCGAGGAATGGCTAAACTCTGTTTTGTTTTTCATGTCTCCCTGTTCTCTGACACTTATGTGCCCTGACTTAGGGGTAAAGCCAAAGCAGAGAATGGCTGGCCCCCAGGTTTTGTCGAGTGTCTTTTTTGCTGTGCTTCAATAATGGGGCCCCTGAGGAAGGATGTGTGTGTGTCCAGCTCTACAGGTGAAGACATGGCTGGCTGCTGAATGGCTGTCCGAGGGATGTTTAGAATCTACTGGTCAGGCATATGTATGTCAGAGAGTTGGTTTGAAACCTTCCTCGGCTTTTTCTTGCTGTGTAGCCTTGGTCAACTCATATGTTCTCTGAGCTTCATGTGGCTCGTGCATGCAATGGGGGTGATTAACACCTACTACTTCAAACTCCCATCTGGTTGTCAGCAATGAGAGAGAATGAATATGGTCAACATAATGAAAGACAGCACAGGGCCTGGCACATTCCAAGAGCTCAAATGTTAGTAGATATTTATTCTGTTGAAATTTATGCACCATTTGCCCCCGCTTACCTCTTCTTGCCTCCAATTACCTTGGCCTCTGCCTAGAATTTGCCCTTCCTCTGTCCCAAGCCCTTAACCATGTCTTTCAAGATGTGTAGAGGGTTGCCTTCTAAAAAGCCCCATTCACATTCTCCCATCTATCTACAAATGCCTTTACCCCTTCCCCAATAACTATTATATTCCTGGTCAAGAGCTATGATGTCTAACTTATCTGTGTATTTCTAATACCTGCAATCCCACCAGGACCTGGTAGGCTTACAGGAGACCCCTAATAAATGGATGAGTAAGGGAGAGTACACGTGTGTATTTGCTTTTTAGGTGTTTCCTATGTATATGTGACTGGTGAGTGCAAGTGTTTGTGCATCTCACACACTGTTTCTAGTTTGTGTGATGAGGGCTTGTTTCCAGGTGTGTCAGATGGTGAGACTCTTCTGACAGTTTGTGTCTTGTTTCTGGGACGAGTGCATGTTTGTGTAGGTCTGTCTGTGATAGTGCATCTGTGATTTCTTTCTGATGGGGTGAATGTCCATCTGTGTTCCTGTGATGGATTCTGAGTAGCTGTTTCTGAACAGTGTCAGTGACAGTGCTGCATGCCTGCTGGTGTGTGTGTGTCTGACTGGGTCTGTGCCTGGTTTTGTAATGCAGCCTATCTATATGGCTCTATCACATACATGTGTATGCCTTTGCAGCAGTGCATACGTTTCGAGCATCTATGTGGCTTCCTGTGACAGACTCTGGAACTCACATTTCTGGGACAGTACAAGTCTTTCTGTGATAGTGCACATCTGATAGTGCCAGTGTCTTTGTGAACAAGTTCTGGCAGTGTGTCTGACAGGGACATTTCTGTGTCTTTGTCACATGGTAATGTAGGTCTGTGTGAATCTCTCTGGAGTGCCTTTCTGTAACTGTGTGTCATTCTGGGACATGACTCACAGCATGCCTGCCTGACAGTGGATGTCACTTCATGACAGTGCATGACTGCATGTGTGTCTAGGACAACTTTACACAGTACGGTAGTATGTGTGTATATCTCACGTGGTACTTCTGTGTGTGTCTCTTCTGAGTGCATGTCTGTCTTTCTGTGGCATGAGGCCTATTTTTCCCAAATGTGTGACTAAGGGTATTTTACCATCTCTTCCAGCTCTCTGCCCCTGTCTCTCATCTGGAGCCACCACCACTCTGGCTTACTCCCACTCCTCAAGAACTCCCCCGCCCCTCTTCCAGATTCTAGACCTGCAGACTGACCTCACAGCCAGGCCTAGCTAGGTCTGTCTAGTTTAAGGGCTACAAAAGTACCCCACAGGCCTCCATCTCTGGGATGCTGCCTTTGACCAGCATGTACCCCCTGCCGTGGTGATCAGGGGATTACCATCCCTGGCAGCTGAACAGGATCTTCCAGAATCCCTGGCTTCAGATTAAGAGCGGAAGCCATCGGTCCCCTGTAGGGCCTTTGTCCTTGGTGAGGAGCACCCTATGGAGACGAGTCCTGCATAGCCACAGGCCCTGATTCTTAGAAGCCAGGCCTGGTGTTATCTCCGTGCTGATTTTGAAACAGCAGCAAACCAACTTGCTAGGAAAGGAGGGGGTGCAGTTATTTTTTATGAATTTATATCTATATATACACGTACACACACATATAAAAACAATCCCGCGCAACAACCAAAACAAATGCAGTTGCGCCAAAGGGATTCCCAGACCGGTTTCCTCTTCGCGCGCGCCCCCACATTTACATACAGGCCCCGCCCCCACGGAAGAGCCTGGCGCTTATTTGCATAAGGGGGTACTTGAGACGTTGAGGGTGGTATGCAAATAAGGACTGGTTCCGATTGGCTGGGGTACAGCAGGTGCCGCGTCCGGATTGATCAAAGCCAAGTGGGCGGGGCTGTCGCCCGGGGTGACTCTCTCGGGAGGCGCGTGCCCCGGCACTGTAGCGTTGGGGCTGGAGCGCGCGGAGAATCTTAGCATTGCGCCGTTTGTGGGCGCTTCTGGGCCACCAGTTTCCCTACCTTCCACCCTGGCGCCCCCAAGTCCTGGTTCACCAGCCCCACTGCCCCGGGCGTCTACACCTTGCGGGCTCAGTGGGCTTAATCTGCGCAGCTCCTCCTCCATGTTGAGCAAGCCTCTTCAGGGGCTCGCGGTGGCCCCCGTGACCCCCACGCAGCCGCCAGGTGAGGGAGGCTTCCCTACCGCTAATAGGCCGGGCGGGCTAGAACGGTGGAGGGCGGCGCGGGGGGAGGGGGAGGGGTCGCGGCGGGGCTCAGCACGCGGCTACCCTGACTTCGTCGCCTCCGCCTGCGTAGGAGGCAAGGATCGGGAAGCGTTCGAGGCCGAGTACCGACTTGGCCCCCTGCTGGGTAAGGGGGGCTTTGGCACTGTCTTCGCAGGACATCGCATCACAGACCGACTCCAGGTATCCGCCACGAGGGTCTGGGGAGGGTCAGGTGTGTGTGTGTGTGGCGGGGGCGGGAGGCCCGGGGCTGGGTTGCTGACTGGGAATGAACCCACAATGTGTATGTGGTAAGGTCCTAAGAACCGGGACCTAGCTAGCTGAGGGCATTCGACCCCGCGCGCCCCCCCCCGTGTGTGTGTGCGCGTGTGTGGCGGCTCAGGTGGGCGTGTGGGGGAGGGGCAGGGATTCGGAAAGGCCGGGGAGTGAGACGAGCGAGTGAGGGTAAGGGATCTTGATGACTCTAGACCCTGGGATTCAGAGGATGTGTAAGTGTGTGTGTGTGTGTGAAGGTGGGGACCCAGAGCTGAGATTTGGGATTTTGGAGACAAGGTGTCCAGTATGGAGTCTTGAGGAACAAGACCCTGGGACAGAGTCTGGGCGTCTTGAGGCTGGATGGGAAGGTGGAATGCTTGGGATGTGAAGAAATTTGGAACTCGGAACCAGGATTGCAGTCCTAAGCCTGAGAATGGAGAGCCCAGGGCTGAGGGCTATGGGAGAGGCGAAGTTGGTCCTGGGGACTTGCGGGCTGGGAGAAACCCCAGCTTGTTTGGGGGTCGTGGTGTGGTGTGGTTGGGGCCACAAAGAAAGACTAAGGTGTGAGGCTCAGGACTGGGAGGGCTCTGGGGGGGTCATCTGCTGGCCCCCTCACCCAGCCTGCTTCTCCAGGTGGCCATCAAAGTGATCCCACGGAATCGCGTGTTGGGCTGGTCCACACTGGTGAGTATCTTCGGCGCCCTTTCTGACCTGGTGGCGCCATGGCTGACGATGGGCCCACTCGCCCCCCGGCCTTTCTAAGGATCGTGTGCCTCCCCGGGCCCTGTAACTGGCGAGGAGATCACTCCTCCCAGCCCGTGTTTACTCCCCTGCAGTGACATCCACACCTCCACACAGTTCTGACTCACCCTAGTTTCCCTAGAGCCCTTAGAATCTCCCCTCCAACCCCTCTTTCTCGTCCTCCCTGCTTCAGGGGCTGCCCGCAGGGCATGCTGGTGGGGAAGGGGGGCAGAGGTCACTGGTTGCTATGGTGATGGTGGCTGCTTCTCTGCCGTTAGCGCGCTAACGGACGGCAGGGCGGGTCTGGGCCGGTTGTAAAGGCGGTAGCGCCCCCTGGTGGGATCCGGGAAGACTGCGCTTGCGCAGTAGCGGAATTTTCATCGCCGTGAGAAAACCTGTTTGCAGCTGTGCAAGTCAGTGAAGTGGCCAGGAGAGGGCCCCACCTCAGGCAGTAATGCTGCTTTTGCTAGTCCCTGTGCGCACGTGGGGCATCTAGAATGGAACAGCTTTTGTGGCCTGTAACATTTATCCTCTTTATTGAGTAGCAACAGGTATGCCTCTGGCTCTACTTCATAAAATGCTTATTTATTCCAAATTCCACTAATCATTTTTATTCAACATGGTTCTAGATGCTTGGTGAGAGTAACAAAATAACGTGAAAACACTGAGTTCTTTGTGCCTGTTCCTTTATAATTACTTACAGCTATTTAACACAACTATATTGAGCACTTACTATGTGCTAGGCACAGTTCTAGGCACTTGGGAAAATATATTTATTGAGAGTTTGGTTTGTAGTAGGGTCTTTTCTACTAATTGCTTTCACCTATTTAACATTTACTGAGCTTCAACTGTGTATAAGGTACTGTTCTAAACTCTTGGGAGATGTCAGTGAACAAAACAAAATATTCCATAATACCCTCATTAAGAACTGCTTCTATGACCTGGCTGGTGTGGCTCCGTGGGTTGAGCGGCGGCATGCAACCCAAAGGGATCCTGGTTTGAGTCCCAACCCAGGGCACATGCCTGGATTATGGGCCAGGTCCCCAGTAGGGGGTGCACAAGAGGCAACCACATACTGATGTTTCCCTCTCTTTCTCCCTCCCTTCCCCACTAAAAAGGGGGGGGGGCTTAAAAAAAGAAACTCTTGTTCAAATATTTACTGAGCTTCTGTTATGTGCCAGATATTCATGGGCTTTTGACTTGAATCGCCTTCACAATGGCTGTGAGTTTGAGGCCTTTATGATGAGGAAACAGGCCCAGGGAAGGAAGTGGTTTGCTCAAAGCCACCTAGGAGGCCAAGGGGCTATGATTTAAGTTAGGTGAGAAGTCAGCCTCAGAGCTACTGGCCTAATGTCTGTTCCCTTCCCTCTCCATTTCCCCCCACAGTCAGACTCCGTCACGTGCCCACTGGAAGTAGCACTGCTGTGGAAGGTGGGTGCAGGCGGTGGTCACCCTGGTGTGATCCGCCTGCTTGACTGGTTTGAGACACCTGAGGGCTTCATGCTGGTCCTTGAGCGGCCTTTGCCTGCCCAGGATCTCTTTGACTACATCACAGAACAGGGCGCACTGGGTGAAACCCGAAGCCGCTGCCTCTTTGCTCAGGTAGTGGCAGCTGTTAGGCACTGCCATGCCCGTGGAGTTGTCCACCGTGACATCAAAGATGAAAATATCCTGATAGACCTTCGCCGAGTCTGTGTCAAACTCATTGATTTTGGTTCCGGCGCCCTGCTTCATGATGAACCCTATACTGACTTTGATGGTAAGACTTCCTTCAATCTCAGTGGGGAGATTTTTTTTTTTTTTTTTTACCTTTTATCTTTATGGGCTCTTGACCTTTGTGGGGGAGGGGTATCCTGTAATCCTTGATCTACATTGCACCTTATAAGGTTCTTGATTTTGAATATTGATGGTTCTCATGCCTTGCCCTCTGTTAAGTCCATCTTCTCACAGTGCCCTGACCTTGTTCTGGGTTCTTACTCTGGTGAGGGGATCCTGTTTCCTGAAAGCTTTCTGGTGAGGGTAGCCTACTATTATTTTTAAGTACTTTTGTCCTGTGAGGGGACTCTGTCATCCTAACTACTCTTACTCGGGTGATGAGACCCTGCTGTTATACTTAAAAGAGTTCCGATTGTGGTGACAGGACCATATACTTTCTGAGGAGGGTGGGGTGGCAGAAGGGCATTATCAGAGAGTGGTCTAACCTCTGGCTTGTGTGCAGGAACAAGAGTATACAGCCCCCCGGAGTGGATCTCTCGTAACCAGTACCATGCACTCCCGGCCACTGTCTGGTCACTGGGTATCCTTCTCTATGACATGGTGTGCGGGGACATTCCCTTTGAGAGGGACCAGGAGATTTTGGAGGCTGAGCTCCACTTCCCTGCCCATGTATCCCCAGGTGAGGCTCTTACTGGCCCTAGCACAGTGGACTCCATACCTCCCTGGGCCTGGTGCTCCTAACTAACTGCCAATTTCCTGTGTGTTTCTGACCTGCAGACTGTTGTGCCCTAATCCGCCGGTGCCTGGCCCCCAAACCTTCTGCCCGACCTTCACTGGAGGAGATCCTGCTGGATCCCTGGATGCAGACACCAGCTGAGGATGCACCCCCTAATACTCCTAAAGGGGGTCCTACCCCTTTGGCCTGGTCCCTGCTGCCCTAGTTGGGATAGCCATCCCATGGCCATGCCTCAAGGATAGAAGGACATCTGTTGACCTGGTTTTACAGGTTATTAAAAATCCAGTGTTACTAGGGTCAGAGATTGGGGGTCTGGGATCAGAAAACATAAGCCAAGTTTGCCCAGTCCCCATCCCAATCCTGATGAGGAGCCTTCCTCCCAGAATTCACGGTTTTTATTCTGGAGGGAGGACTTCCTTGCTTTTTGTTTTGCTAAGGATGTTTATTTGGTTGAAGTTAATTCCATTCTGAGCCCCAGGACTCTTATTCTGATGTGTTAAAAACCCTTACACTGGCACCTCCTGCCTGCTACCACCACACAAACTTAGTTAAAATGCTCTAACTTGGGCAAGGGTGCTTTCCTTTTAAAAATCCCAGTAGTTGTTATTTTAGTAAAGGGACTCTTTAGTCTAGGGTTCCATGTTAAGTCACACTGCTTGCCTACCTCAGCCCAGGGTTGCTTATTCTGGGGGAGGTAATGCCCTATTGTTATCCCAGGGCTTTTTTTTTTTTAACTTTTTTTGTTTGTTTTTGGTGAAGGGACCCTACTCTGTTATTCCAAGTGCTCTTATTCTGGTGAGGAAAAACCCTACTTCCAAGATTTGGGAAGGCATGGGAGATGGACACCACCAGAGTCCACTAGGATGGGGTGGATGGGTTTTGGGGGGGTGGGGGAAATTAGTCTTGTTTGTTATCCTGGGGCCTCCCCCTCTACCTTTTTTGGATTCTTGCTGCCTCCTTGTGAGCCAGGATTGTCCAGTTGCTGAGATGTAAATACTTGTGTATTGGGAGGAAGGGAGCTCCAGCTGTGTCATCCTCTCCCTTTTCCACCTGCCTGGATTATTTAAAAAAGCCATGTGTGGGAACTCACTATTTAATAAACATAATAGAATCACAAATGAGTGACCAGTTGTCACAATGAAGCATCTGTGGAGCGTCTACTGCATGCTGAGCCAAGAGGGAGATGGGCTAGATTTCACCTCTAGAGGTCTCAGTCTTGCGGTGCCATCCTAAAGATCTTTTATGTATTCATTTAAACAGGACTACAAAGAAAAACTTGACAACATCCACTTCCTAGCTCATACACATAATGATCAGTATGTGCAGGTCTCCATAGGACATAGACTTTGAAGATGTTTGGGACACATCTGCAATTAAATATGGCTAGCTCGGGCAGAAAAAAATGCTTTTTCCCCAAACTCTAGGGAGGAAGTAAGTTTATTCACCACAGAAGAGCCCTTTCGGGCCACTGGTGAGGGTGGGGCTAGGTTTGAATGACACAGGAATCTTCCCAGCCTATGATGTCTAATAACTGGGATGTGAGTCACCTGTATTGCCTTTACCTTTTTGACTCTCCATCGTCTCCTTAACTGCTCATCCCTGTCATTTCTCCTTTTCTTAATTCTTGACTTAACTGCCCTATTCTATCTGGTTTTAACGGTACCCTCTATTCTGCTTTCAAAAGTTAATCTGTAAGCCTTTCACTTGCTGTTTTACCAGTTCACCTCTCAATTCTTTTCCATCTCGCTGTTGGCTTATTTGTCCTCCCTTCTGTCTCAAACGTTCCTGTGCCTTTGCACGTGTATATCCTAAACTGCCCTAATATCTGCTAGTTGACCTGCATGACCGTCACCTGTGCCTCCGCCGCCTCGGGCGTTTGCTCCCAAAAGCCCACAAGCTCTCCAGGGGGCGGGGCCTCGACCGGAGAGGGTAAAGGAACTTATGCCCAATCCGGAGACACCTACTTTTGGGGCGGCAGGGCGGGGGGGTGCTATCAGAAGACCGTCTCAATACGCAGTCGAGGTAGAAGCAGGGGAACTGAACCAATGAGACGAAGAGACAGGATGTGCGGGTGATAGGGAAAGCGAGATCAATAAAGGGGGTGGGTCTCTTAACGGGGGATGGGCTGAAGAGGCCATGCACTGGATGGCGAGAGGCTCAGCCGGTCTCCCTAACCCGATGGAATCTGGAAATCGCGAGGCCTCTCATAAATTAGCGTTCAGGAGTGGACAAGGAAAGCCTCTGATGGTCAGTCCGTCCCACCTCACCCAGGCGGCAGGGAAGCGGAAGTGACGGACACGGAAGTGGCCTGCTGTTGCAGGAGGGACGGGCCAGGCAGATGCCAACATGGCAGCGGTTGGATCTGGCGGTTCCACCGCGGCTGCCGGGCCAGGGGCGGTCTCCGCGGGGGCGTTGGAACCTGGGACCGTGAGTGCGGGTGAGACAGGCTATAAACAAGCTATCGGCGGCAGTGCAGGGGTCAGGATCGCCGGGGGCCGTTAGGAAGGTTACTCGTTGAAGCGAGAGCCTATATCCCATATGGACTGACCTATGTGTGTGGCAGGGGTGAGGGTGGGTAGGGGAAGAAAGAGACGGAACAGACTATTGTGAATGTGTGGGACGGGGTAGAAACCAATTTTGAGGATGATGGGGAATCCCTTCCGCACACGGAAAGTAGACACGATTTTGAATCTAGAGGGATGTTTCCTCCTGGGGAGGCTAAGACCACTAAGACCATTTTGAGGGTGTGTGGGGTCCGTCCTTATGGAAGTGAGAGACCATTCCGAGGGTGGGAGAGTTTCTCCTTATTGAAGGGAGAGGCTATTTCTGAGGGTGGTGGTAGTTTCTTCCTTATAAAGAGACAGGGACTATTGTGAGTAGGGTGGGGTGGGTCCTTCCTTATGTGACTTAGAGTCCATTTTGAGGATAGGGTTGTCCTTCATTATACATGGGGTAGACCATGCTGGGGGAGTCCCTTCCTAATGGAGATAAAGTTTATTATATGTTGGAGTCAGGGGGTCCTTCTTTATATGGCAGAGAAAGAATGTTCTGAGGGTGCTGGGTCCTTCCTTATAGTCGGGATTGTTCATTGTGTGAATAAAACAAGGAATAATTCTGGGGTTGGAGGTAGAGGGATGCAGCAGTTGGAGGACCAGACCATGTGGAGTATAGGGAAATATTTCCTTATATCATTGAAGGAACCAGGCCATTCTTGTGGTTCAATCCTTGGGACAGTGTGAGAATCATTTATTTGTTAGATCATTTTGGGTCAGAAGGAATCAGTCCTCATACGAGGGAGGGATTGGAGAGATCATTCTGAGTGTAAGGGAATGAAATTCTGAGATGGGAGAAAGCCTATTTCTTAGGGGGTGGGCCTGCTTTATACACTGGTCTCATTCTCTGAATTGGGGTATCATTCTTTACATGGAACAACCCCTCTTTAAATAGAAGCAACATTTCATATAAATCTTCAATTTGCTCATCCATAAAATGAGAATCTGTCTAGTTCCTTTGGAGATCAGAGTGATATAGAGGTCCAATGAGGTAATGCATATAAATCCCGTAGCCCAATGATAGGCACACAGTAAGCACTCAATAAATGTTCAGAATGTAGTTGGTATTTTCTGGGGGAGAGTGGCTTCTCAGAGAAGGTGGGTGTTTCAGGGCTGGCCGCAGCCATTTCCTGACACTTAAGGAAGGATTCCAGCTATGGGCCCTGCCCACTTGTACCTTTCTGGCTCTTCTTCCTGTTACTGAAGCAGTGGAAGCAGGAGGAGTCATATCTTTATTGGATCAAGATGGGCAGGCAGAGGGAGAAGAAACAAATGCTGGCTAAGAGGATCCTGGTTGAGAAAGGAGAAGGGAGGGTAGTGGTTTGGCTATGCCCCAAGCAACTTCTGATCCCTTCTTCCCCCTTGCTCCTTCCATTCCCCACAGCTCACCGGCGCCTCAAATATATATCCCTGGCCGTGCTGGTGGTCCAGAATGCCTCCCTCATCCTCAGCATCCGCTACACCCGCACGCTGCCTGGGGACCGTTTCTTTGCCACTACTGCTGTGGTCATGGCTGAGGTGCTCAAAGGTCTCACCTGTCTGCTGCTGCTCTTCGCACAGAAGAGGGGTATGAGCCAGGGAGGGGGGCTGGAGTTGGTGGGTAGGATTCTGCGCGTGTGTGTGTGGTACACCTGAACCCACATGGAGGGTTTGCAGGGAGAGTATTTCTGTGTCTGTGAAACTGCCTGGGAAGTGTTTAAGTGCAGGTAAGCTGCCTTATTCCTCCAGCTATGAGTAGCTGCATCCACACTTTTATACCCCAAAGCCCCAGGGAGCTGGCCTGAGGAGACTTTACGAGTGAGACAGTCTGTGCCCATAAGTGGCAGGTGCCCCTTACATGATAATTTATTTCTCTTTAACTTTTTATTGTGGAGAATTTCAAACTCTGAATCAGAGACAATGATAAAATAGTAAAATCTCCATGTACCCATCATCCAGATTCAACAGTTGTCAACTCTTGGCCACTCTGCCATTAAACAGCATCAGTGATTATCCACTCGCTGCCAATCTATATGTCTGCCTACTTACCTCCCCCTCACTTTATTATATTGAAGTATAGTAAGTCTTCACTTAATGTCATTGGTTCAAGAACTTGAAATGAAACAATGTATAACAAAACCAATTTTACTATAGGTGAGTTGATACACATGAGTTAAGTTCCTAGGCATCTCATCAACAGTTATTACATAGTGACAATAAACAAAACAATGTTATTTGTAGAACTGCCCTATGTTCCACATGAAGTATTATCTTGAAGTAAATCCTTATTATCTTGAATATATATTTTTAAAAGTTAATAAAATAATTGAGTATCTAGTCAATGTCCAAATATTCTAGTGACTTCTCAAGTGTCATAAACATTTTTAAAATTCTGTTTGAACCAGCCCTGGCTGGTGTAGCTCAGTGAATTGAGCACCGGCTTACAAACCAAAAGGTCACTGGTTCAATTCCCTGTCAGGGCATGTGCCTGGGTTGCAGGCCAGGTCCCCTGTTGGGGGCATGAGAGAGGAAACCAACTGATGTTCCTCTCACAGGTGTCCTTCTCTTCCTCTCTCTAAAATTAAATTAATAAAATATTTTGAAAAATTTTTTAAAAATAAAATTTTGTTTGAATCAAGTTTTTTATTGAATTTCTTGGGGTGACATTGGTTCATAAATTTATATAGGTTTCAGGGGTACAATTCTCTATTACATCATCTGTATATTATATTGTGTGTTCACCACCCCAAATCAAGTCTCTTACCATCACCATTTATCTCCCTCTTTCTCCTCTACTAACTCCTCCACCCCTTTTCCCACTGCTAATCACCACACGGTTGTCTCTCTAGGAGGGTTTGTTTGCTTGTTTATTTTTGCCTAATCATTTCACCTTTTTCACCCAGCCCCCATGCCCCTTCTGCTCTGACAGCTGTCAGTCTGTTCTTTGTATCTATGAGTGTTTGGATCAAATTTATATCAAGATTGGTGTTTCATAATTGGTTAATATCTTCTGGGTTTGTTAACCTCTGGGTTTGCCTCCAGTTTTTTTTCTTTCCCTGTAGTTAATTTGTTGAAGAAAATCAGGTCATTTGTCTTGTAGACTTTGGGTAACCTGGATTTTGCTGACTGCCTCCCTATGGTGTCATTTAACATGTTCTTCTGTCCTCTGTGTTTCTCATACTTGGGTTCATCTACTGACTTAAACACCTCCCTGAAGGCCTTCTTTAAAATGTTACACATTCTTTTCTCTGTAAAGGCCTTGCATGTGGCTCTGCCCTCAGCACTTACATTGAACAAGACATTCTTACCCAGTCATTAGCTCTAGGGCCCTGTGAGGCAGCAGTTTAGGGACCTACCTGCTCTGTGCTTGATTGATTCTGAGAGACTTCCTAGTGAACACTGCATGGCAGGCCCTGCTTTGGCTGTGGAGGTGGACGTGTTAGCAGTGCAGACATGCATCTTGCCTCATAGGGCTGATAAGTTTAGTTGAGGGGAAACACATAGCTGTAGACTTAATCACAGGCTTTCAATGTTTATCTGCAATGCCCCCCCCACACACACACACCATTTTTCTTTTTCCTGAATTTGTTTGAT